CGTGTATTGTAGCAAAACAAGCTTCAGTGAAAGCGTCCCCAGTCGTTCTGTGCTCCGTCAATTAAATATGCCGTATCGCTTGTCTGTCTGGCTTCAGTGTTGCTGTAGGCGACAAAACATGTGCCCAGTTTTTTCACAAGAGGCATATTATGTCACGCACATGTAATTTTGTTTTTATCTGGCTTAGTGTGCTGTAGGTGGCTGGTCAAAGAAATTGGTACTTGGACGCAGCTAATCGCAAATCTTTCTGACAGTTTCCAAGGCTTAAGAGCCAGCAGGTCCCAGTTTGCTTCTCCTCAGAGGTGAGAATTCCAGATTCCCGAAGCAGGAATACTGAAGCCAGACGACCGGTACAGCATTTTTAATTGACAGAGCTCGGAACGACTGGGGGCTCGTGCATTGAAGCTTATTTATCTGTAATACACGCGAGCGACATTGACGTATGCCAAGTTACGTCGCAAGAGGTTATCTATGTCCTGCGCATGTAATTGTTTTAATATTTTCGACTTAGTGTACTTTACGGGGCTACTCAATGTAATTGCTTCTTGAACGCAACTAATCGCAAATCTCTCTTCCAGTTTCCATGGCCTACAAGCAAGCAAGCACCAGTTTGTTTTTCCTCGAAGGTGAGCATTCCAGATACTTTAGTTAGGTGCAAAGCAGGAACTGTGAAGCCAGACGAGCCGATAGGTTTATTTAATTGACGGAGCTCAGGATGATCCGTGGCAGTGGAATGGAATGGAAGCTTATTTTTCCACAATCAAACGGAGACATAATTTTGAATCTATCCGGCTTAGTGAAGGATTGCTACTTGTTGCGAACTAATCACAAAGTTTTATTTTGCAGTTTCTATGTGGCTACAGCTAGCAGGTGCTGCTTTCATTAAAAGGTGAGGATTTCACATTCTGTTTTCAAACAGCAAGTTTTTGAATGAGGGTCCTAAACAATTACTTTCTTTTGCAGTAAATGCCAGATCCTCCAGTTCAGGAATATGTTAAATATATTTGGTATGGATAAGCCCAGTGTTTTGCTTCTTTATTCATAATTTGACAACAACAACACTTTTTTATTTTATCACTCAGAAATACACACAAGAAGAGACTGGGTTGCAAAGAAATGTCATGCTGAACGTGATATTCCAACTCGCATATAGTTTTATTGGTAGCCGATATAATATATTGGATTCCAATATCCATAATACGCTGAGTATATTGGAATCGTAAACCCTTATTGGATCCCCATACGACACATGGGGATCCAATAAGGGTTTATACGGTATTGGATTCCAATATTTTCAGCGTATTATGGATATTGGAATCCCATAACAAATCCTTATTGTAATACAATACAATAAATGTAATGTTTTCCAATACACTGTCTATATTGTATTGCAATACAATAAAAAGATATTGTTTACCAATATCCATAATACGCTGTTTATATTGGGGTTTGAACTTTGTATACAAAGTTCAATTTGGTTTTGTACGAACCTACAACACACAAAACAGCACTCTAATACAGTATGTAGAGGTACCTCTAAACAAATTCAAGGGTTTCATGGAGCCTCCTTCAGATAACTGATGTTGAACATAAAATATGTGCACCAAGGAGTGAGCAAACAGTGACTTCCAATTAGTCTTAAGCACCAGCGACATGTCGACAAGGAGTGCAATGTGTAGAATGTCGTCTAGAAATGCGCAGCCAAGATGAAAAGGCGAGATATAACGATATCAGAATAAGATCACACCAAAAAGGTTCCGTTACAATCTAGGCACAGTAATGAGTCAACCGACGTTCAGCCGCGATTCACTTTGCGTTGAGGTGAAACATGGCCAACAAAATATAAAACACGCGGTTTTTTTTTTTGTTTTTTTTCTGTACATTATGTGCTTTGCGCCGTTGATAGAAGCACAGTTGGGCGGCGTCACAAAGTCACTCGCTAGCGTTTTTCAAGTTCGTTCATCGGCACTCATGGTCTACCCGGGAGGAGAAAAGTACGACCTCAGAGCCGAGCCGCCGAGCGTCGATTGCGACTTTCCTAAAGAGAAGCTCCGGTAACACTTCGGCGACTCGTCAGCTTCAAACAACGCCTCTTCGAACCATCTTTGAACGAGCCTGACGCGCCCGCGAATCCAATGCGCCGAACGGTCGCGGCAGAAAGCACGCCGGAAGGGAGGGGGCTGGAGGCTGAGTATCCGAAAGAGACGCGGCGCTGGTTTCTACGTCTATTTCACACATGAGATAACAAACTGGCAAAGCTAGCCGAGTGTGAACAGCGACTGACGTTACATTGGAGCACACGCAGTCGAAATGACGCCTGCACCAGGGCACAGCTAGAGGTTTTCAACAGGGGACACATGCGTTCAAAAAGGCCGCGATTTAAAAACTTCACGTCTCCTTTCTGTCCTTCGGTGTTTACTTTGATCCGCGTACACCAAAGCACTCAATGCTGCAAGTAATAAAGTCGTGTATACGTACCTTTCGAAGCAATTGAAAGTGTGTAGGTTTCGCTCGATGCCCACGAGCACAGAGTGCGACGAACGCCAATCCCGCCGGCAGCACGACGGCGCCGACGCCCGCCCGCTGCGCACTGCGCATGCTCAGCTTCTCGGCTCTCTCAGCTCTCGGCCGCTCCTCTGCTGGCTCGGCAGCACGCCGACTCGCGGGCATCGCGGGCTCGCCGGGCTCGCTCCCTTCGAAGTTCGAATAGTTCGAACAGTTCGAAGTTCAAACTGCTTCCAAAGCGCGAGCTTGCGCGCGCGCGCGCGGGTTGGCGATGGAAACTATCTTCTCGAAAAACGAGGCTGTAACGTATCGTTTGATGGCGCAAATGCACGTATTTTTCACGTCGTTTTTTGTACAGTGTGTGAATCTCGTGAAACAGGCGACGAAAAGTGGTGGGTAAAATGTGCTCGCATGTCGTCGTGGATTTTCTGTTCCACGTAGGATTACCCAGAAAGGTGGGTCAATATCGATAAATGTGCGCGTAAGAAGCAACTACATGCACGTGACCTGTCAAACCTATTCACCCTCATTATTTTATCGTGCGAACCGGCATTGCCACGTATCGTGTTCGATTTCGGTCCCAACAACGGTAACTTTGAACATATCGTGTTTGATGTTGTGTTTCTCGCCGTCGGTAACTTCGTATTGATATCGTATTCGGTCTGGTGGTTGTGTCTCAACAGCGATGGTTTCTTGTTGTATTGTGATGTTGAGTTGCAACATCGAATTGTATCCCGGTACGTTGGGTTTATCGTTTGGCGATCAACTTTTGTTGCATTACAACTGCAATAAACATTTGTTGGAAAACAATCACTCCAATGAGCACGTCGTTATTGGACTTTGTCATTAAAAGGTAGGTCGCGGCGGGTGTTCCGGCTATAGTTATTCTGAATGGTTTGGTGGTTGTCTAGTTTCAAACGCGCGAGGCTGTGTGTACTGTGTGCCGTATAACAGCTGTACATACTTGCACTGTCGATCAATGTTAATGTGTTCGCAACGCAGAACGTTTATACTATGTGTGTATCCTCACCCAATATATTTCTCGCGTATTGCCGTGTGGATATGCCAACGTAATTCATGTTGGTAACGTGGTATCCGCGTTCTGAGATTTATGCGCGCGATATCATATGGTATTTTCCTCTGGTCCCATGATCGACGACCGATATTTGTATATCGTGTGGCCGTACAGTATGTCCATGTCGGTCACCAATATGCACGCGATGTCGTATTCTATTCCAATAACCGTGTATTATATCGGGGTATTGTGCTCCGATATCGTGTTGTATACCAATAACCACAAGTTATATCGGGATATTGTGCTCCAATGTCCTGTTGTATACCAATAACCACATACTATATCGGGATATTGTGCTCCGATATGAATTCCCATCGTGCTTATTGGGTTAATCGGATAACAATACGTTTTTAATGGTTTCCATCATCTTCATTGGAATACAATATTTCCAATAAGCCGACTTTATATTGGCCTTTTTCAATAGGGTATCTACCCATCCTTGCAACCGTTAAGCCATCCCTGACATTTTTCTTATTACGGCTACTTTTTCTAATACGGTTACACTACTGCTACCCCTATCATCACTTCAATCACTAATACAATCACCACCTCGGCGCCTACCACTGCAACATATAATACTACATATAATAACAATATTCATATGTATTTATTTATTTCCGACTAAGATAATATGAAACTACAGCTAATACTAATAGCAATAATTATTCCAGACATGCGTAACTCTTCAAAAGCAGAGACGGAGCACGACTGGAATCTCCCTTCAAGCATTAAAAGATGTAGTGTAGCGGAAAACATGCGGCGATTTTAAAGATAAATAATAAAACATTGCGCAGCAAGAATATGAGACATATAACCTCCACTTGAGATATGCTAAAATTTACGAACACACTAGAACTAAAAATTGGATATACATATAAATGTATCGATAGATGACTTTAGACAGTCGCAAAAAAAAGCAGTTTCTCTTCCCACTTTCGTATACCGCGAAAACGGACATTGATAATCTTTTGCGTTTCTATTGCGGGCATGTTATGCGAGACCAAAACATATTCTGAAGCTATGCATGCTATAAAAACATGAAACATGATGTTGTCGGATTAAAACCGGTCAATGATATAGTGCAGTCTTTTTTTAAGGTGTCTTGCCTTGCACTAGGTATACGTCTTAGTATAGAAACAACCAAAAAGTTCCGACTTTCCCCAGGACATACAAAAAAGCATCTTGCCCGATAGACCAGAGTGAGCTACCTGCAGTAGAGGCGCAGATAAACTATATATGTCGTGGTAATGCGCTATTAGCCAACAAGAAAGAAATCCCCCTTTTGAAACAGAATGCCAGCTGTTATGCCGTGCTCGGGTGAAATAAAGAAAATGGTAAAATTTGTTTCTGATTTGAAAAAATTGTCTGCCCAGAGGAAACCAACCAGGTGCACTAAACAAAATTATTTGAAGTTACTTACAACTATTTTGTTCCCTGTAACTTTAAATGGTATGCTGAGGTTTAAGTAGGCGTCCGTGCATAGTACCACAAGGTCCGGCCAAAAAAAAGTCATAAATCCCTGGAAAAATACCGTAATGCATTCAAGAGTTTTATATAATTGAATATTTCTAAACAAAAATACAAAGATCACCCTATGTGACTCATGGTGCAAGCTTTCTTTTGTTAATAAATGTGGGATTAATGCAATATACAAAGTCGTTTCTGTATTTTCAAACTTAAACTTGACGTCCGAATATTCCCACGAACAGCAAAAAACACGCTAGATGTTTAGTTTTTGGTAAAGTGAATGTTAATATTTATGTTGAATATAGAATGCATATTAGCTGCCAGAATTTTACTTTGTTGGGATGAAGAAAAGAGAAGAGAATTGAGGTAATCGCAGGATAGTGTAACAGAGTCAATCTTTGTTAAATTTTTTAACCGGGTCTTTGGTTATTTTTAAGCTACGTCATTCGAGCCAACAAAGTCGACATACTATAGAAGAGAAGAACTTAAAACGAAACAATCCGTTTCCGTCGAAGCATTTAGACCGCATTACAAGCGAAGGCTATATAGCAGGCTTACATAGAGGCCCTCAAAATCATTGTCCTAATATCTGACAAATAAAAAACGTTTATCTTCGTGCATTACTCGAAGATTAAAAAAATGCCATATATTCAGCATATTGACACTTGAGAAAGACGTAGTTTGTAGATCTTAAATGTAAGCCGTTTCAAATAGTTTCTCTACATCTCGATATTCATGAACAAAAAAAGTATTCGTTCGGGCCAAGATTGGAGAAAGAATGAGCACGAATGGGAAGACGGCACAAAAACATCGTAAAGAATGTTGTTCTCTCGTCGTCGTCTTACAATTGTTTATTATTTTTTTAGTCTTCAACACATGAAACACACTTTTTTTAGTAGGTCCCTTAAAAATAATATGACGGTAGTAAAATCATTCCCATAGTTCAGCTAGCGAATTTCTTGGCCACTACACAATGCAGGGTGCAAGTTTTCACACGCCGAATATCGCGTCAACAGCAGGTTGCGGTTGTCTAGTAATCCCGATGTTAGCAAAAGCAACTACAGAAAATCGGCCACGAAACAAAAGGATCATGACCCAGTCCCACAGGGCTGTTCCAACGCTACGGTTGAACATGCTTGAGTCTATTCCCAGTGTGAGCTTGTATTCAGCGTGGCTTTTTCTTGTGACATTTTGTTCGTGCCAGTTCATATCGGAAAGTTAAAATCACGACTCTGGGGCATTTCTAAAGCTCAGCTTTCTCACACCTACTCGCTAGAGAACCAAGAGTTGTCGCGCAACCACCGAAGCACAAGGTAAACATAGGAGAACCGGAAATATGTTTCTCCCCCTGTCATGGATGCAGCAACCAGCGCGCACACCCTGTATAAATGCGTTCGTAAATACCGCTTTGAGAACTTCTTAAATTTTGCGCCGCTTACAAAATTTCTAGTTAGGCTTTCATTGCCTAAGTATCTTTCGTAGATCTGGCATCTTGTCCCATGGAGCGTGCTGTAATGCACCATTAGGACTTTGATCACTGACGCAAAAAGTAACTCTAGCTAAAAAAAGAAAAACTTTGTGGGGTAGAAAAATGATAATAGTGGTTTGAATCAAATAGTTCAGCATCCCTCACGACATTAAGAGTACAAAGAGAAGTCACAGAATGATAGCTATTTTGGCACTTGTAAAGCTCAAAAACTCTTGCTACACTATTTCATTTAAATCTATAATCGCACACCCCGATACGCCCTTCTCAAAAGTCCATCGAGCAACATTGGCGGCCGAGATTGCTTAGACACGAAGCGTGTGATTGTATTCGAGTCCTCGGCGAACGTTGACGCAACCCTCGTGCCCTATGCGTGCACAGGGAGCGCGCTTAAACACAGGCGAAGTCGGATAACTGGCGCAGCAGCGACTAGATAGTGCGCACTTTTTAAAAGGGTCCATTTTTAAGTGAAAGTCTTCACTAGGAAAAATCATTTTCAGAACACAAGTTAATATAAGTATATTGTTGATCTAGGTCAGATGTTATGGCCTCAAAGTCTTACCTGCTGACCAGTCATTGTGCAAAACATTTCCCCTACTTTCTTAATGTCATTATAGCACTTGGACGAAGAGGGGAGCTCTTGCGACAGTGCTCCTGCAAAGTGATATTGGAACGACATTCTTGAAGTGCATTAAAATCAACTGGTCTTTTGAGACTTGCCGTACGTTTAACCGTGATTGAAAGATAAACATAAATTGGGCCTATCCTATGTATTTAAAGAGCACCAGGACAGACCAGCACGTATCTCGGCGTTAACACGCACGGTGTCAAAACATTGTCAAAACAAGACGGTGTCAAAGCTTTTGATACAGTACCTCATGCGTGTTTAGTTTCAAAGCTTCGTCACCTTCAAATTGTCCATTTGATAGTTGACTGGATGTCGGCTTTTCTTACCAACAGAATTCAATCAGTGATGGTTAACTATAGTGTTTCTTCTCAGCCGCCTGCGATCTCGAGAGTGCTCCAAGAAAGCGTTCTCGGACACTTACTTTTTAAGTATAAATTAACGACCTCCCAGAAAGTATTACGCCAGCAATTGGACTCTTTGCCGACGATTGTGCTATCAATTGAAAACTATCTTCCCCAGCCGATCACTTAATTCTTCACAAGGACCTGAACCTAATCAGCTAGTGGTGTGTTACGTGGCAGATGAAAATAAATTCTAGTAAATGCCGTGTATTAAGAGTTACAAACAAAAAAAAATATTGTCATCTTTCAAATATTCAATTTATACCAGGTAATTGAAAATGCACCATTGTATAAATATTAAGGGGTTCATTTTACCAGCAACTTGTCCTAAAAAACGCACATAAAGAGCACAATCGCAAATGCATATAAGGAGCTCGGTTTCTTAAAACTTAACATTCATTCCGCTCCACAAAGAACGAAACTACTAGCTTACAAATCATTCATTGTTTGCAAACTAGAATATTCCAGTATTTTTTTAAATCCTCACCAAAGCTATTTAACTTTAAAACTAGAAGCTCTGCAGAATAAAGCTACGCGATTCATTTGTCATGAGTACTCCACCTTCACAAGTGTAACAGACTTTAAGAGAACCTTGGGCTTAGACCCTTTAGAGATTCAGCGGAAAATTGCTCGTGTATGTTTTTTCATCAAATATATTACGACGGATCATTATTCAAAGCATTTCTCTGCTCACCGGCACGGTTTATACGTGCTATACTTGATCATTCTTTCAAAATTGGGCCGATTAAGTCACGTACAAACCTGTTCATGTTTCACCACTCCCTTTAGCCATAAAGGAATGGAATAGTCTCCCCAGTGATGTTGAGGTTTTATGTGACCCGATATCGTTTAAACAGAGTTGTGAAGAGTTGTTTTCTTTACCTGATAGGGTGCATGTCGGTTTTTGTATTATTGTTAACATCAGTGTTTGTACTGTTCCAGTTCCTCACTGTGTGTGCAATTCATTGCATGTTTTCCACTTTCGTACACTTTGGCGTTTTTGTTGTTGCATTGGTGAATAAGTTTGTTTTCTTCAAAGTTTCTCATATATGCATCTGTCACGACTTCTGCCCCATTCTTGTCATCCCCCCCCTCATGTAATGCATCAATAGATGCTTTTGAGGTCAATAAATGAAATGGTATGAAATCAGATACAAATCACTCAGCATCGATGTAGTAGCCACAAAAACAGAAACTTGCAAAAACAACAACGCCACAAAAGATTACAAAAAAAAAACTGTCCGATGTCAAATTAACGAAGCGGAGAAGGGGTGCATCTTCTAAATAGCAACCATATTGCCCAAGATACATGATGTTTATAATGTTAAGATTGTAGCGAACTAACGCTAGTGTAGAATAATTTTTTGATTCCGCATCGTTCCATTGGTTACGTAGTTGTCCCCGTAATATGTTCCGCTCGTAAGGCGTAGCAAGCTTTTTGGGTGCAGCCAGCTAAACAAAGGACGATTCCACCGGAAAAACATAACTAACTAACTCAGCTCATCCACCCCATAAAAAGAAAGTGCAGAGTGAATCTACCCGCAGCAGCTTTCACGAACTCGAAACGGTGAGCTCCAAATAAACCCGTTCTGCAATTTAATTCCGTTCCTGAAGCGGTGTTTCTGCATTTGCGTTAACATTTGGGTAGGCAGCACGCTTCTTCCGAGTTTAATGAGAGCTTCCTTGTGATATTACGTATGTTGCTGGTTATTTGTTTTTTCTTCGACGACCGCATTCGGGAATTTCTGCTCTTAAAGGGACCTTCTTATTATTTCTTTGGACTGGTTTGATATTTGCGCTGAAACGGAGCTCATAGTAGTTATTATAGAGGACAAGAGTGCGAAAGACACGGAGAAGTAGAAGAACAGGACAGGACAGGACAAAGCGCTACTATCAACTGGCATCTATAATGTGTAAGAGAAAAACGAACCTGGCGATTTTTTAGTGATAGAAAAGGAAGATGAAGGCTGCTGTGAAAGCAAAAAAAAACTAAGATTTTTTTTTTATTTAGCAAAGATACATTTTGAGGCACTAGACCAAGGGCCAGCTGCCTCTGGGTGTCCCAGTTCTATAGTGTTTGATGTTTCTGAAAGTTCGGCAACTTCCAAGAGAGCTCAAGAACGACCTCTTTGGAAAAGCCGGCCTGCTATAGTTCCTACATTCACAGAATAACACACAACTTGAAGAGGGTAGCCTCCAGGTTCGGAGTCACTGTAGCTATTTCTACTCCGGACAAACTCAAGAGGCTGTGTTCCAAGGTCAATTCTGAGAAGCATCTACAAGACCAATGCAGTATTCAGCACGCACGAAAGTATGTCACCTGCCGTATAGGGGTCGTCTACGGTATTCCGCTCTCCTGTGGGAAAGTGCGCGTTGGCCAATCTGCCCGGTGTGTCAACATCAGACTACGTGAACACGCTTTTTTACTAAAATCATCTCCGGCAGGACACCTCGCCATACATATCCGAGACTGCCAATGCACCCCTGGGTTTGCTAAAACCAGAATCTTCAATCGATTCCACAACCAGAGAGCCAGGGAAATCTATGAGGCTCAAATCATAAAAGCCAGGGGGGACGCTTGCATTAGCGCACCGTCAGTAGCATTTTCTGACAGAGACCTCCAATACCTCCCTTTGTTTTCTTAAGACGCTACAATTTTTCAATTTTTTTAGAGCGCAGCTTTTAGGCGCCCGTTTCCGACTTGAGCGGCGTCGGCGTCGGCGTCGCGGTCGGCTTAACCGCGCGGTGCATTATGGGACGCGTGACGTCACGATGACGTCATCAGCACCCGGATCGTCATCGCCACTGATGACATCATCAGTGACGTAAGATGATGGCGTCAGCATCGCCATCGTCATCGTCACTGATCACGTCATCTGCATTCGCATCGTCATCGTCATCGTCACTAATGACGTTACTGATGACGTCACTAGTGATGATGACGTCAACACTGGCGTCACTGATGACGTCATCGTCATTGTAACGTGACCTCATAGGGGTCACGTGACCCCGGTGACGTCACATGACCCCCGTGAGGTCACGTGATTCTCGTGAGGCGGCGGCGACGCCGCTCGGTGGGAGGAGTAGCAGACAGGATGAGGACGTGTTGAGGAGGGAGGAGGGATATACCTTCCCCTCAGTACCCTTCCCTCCTCCTCCTCAAGAGCTGCAGTCTAATTCGGCGTTACAGGGCCGAATTAGACTGCAGCTGCAAAAACGAAAGCCGTTAAAAACGGCTTTCATTTTTATTTCTCTTTTAGGTTTTTCTTTAAACTTCTTTCTTTTCCTCTAATTCTTGTTCCTAAGTGCACTTTTTTTTTCTTTCTGTGGTCTCATTTTTTCAACCCTGTATTTCGTTATAGCTTTTCATAAAACAAAAATATTATTTTCCTGTCTTTAGTTGCTTTGCTTTGAAAACAGCCTTCCTCTTCCTTTTCTATAGCTAAAAAATCTCCAGGTTGTTCTCCTCTTTCACATTAAAAAACGCCAGTTGATAGTAGCGCTTTGTTCTGTACTGTCCTGTCCTACTTGTCCGTGTCTTTTGCGCTGTTGTCCCCTATAGCACATTACCAACTAGCCCAGCAGCTAATCCTGATACATAAGACGTAGTCATGGAGGAAAGACTTTTTTCGAAAGTTCGCATTATTTGGGGAGTTATAAGCAAATTAAATGACAAACATAAGCGAAAGCGAAAATTTTCTCTCTATGACCCATTCGGAAAAGTTAATTGATTGAAGGGTTGGAGGAGAGCGGCTGGCACATTGACTGCGGGCTGTGTTGTACACGCTGCTTGAGAAGATGAACAAAAGCTCGTTTCTCGTTCCTGCTGAATTTCGGAATGCATTCCAGGTGCAAGCTTCATCTGTGAAAAAGGACCTCGTTCCCTTTACAGTTTTGAAAATGGAACGTATCGTTACATATAGGTTACTTTTGTATTTTGCTAAAACCATATTTGGTTAAATCAAACTAAGTTTTTTTTTATATACGTCTCATGAGATGCCTTCATACAAAATTGAATGCCGTGATGGAAAGACACCAGGAGAAGAAACCAACCGGGAGCAAGTTTCCATTTGTTGATATATTCACCTTAAAAATATCAGTGTTTCGCAATATTCCTGCTCGTGGTTGGTGATTCGGGCGAGCCAACTGTTCTGTGATTCGAGAAGGAGAAGCGGCTTGATTTTTATTGTTCTGTATTAAAGGGTTCTCCCCATTGCATGAGCGTTTTACAACCTCCCACGTTTCAATCTAACAAAGTCCCTTCTTTCAACTTAACAGCCGTTGCTTATCGATGTTGCTGTCCGCAAGACGAACAAATGAAGAGGAGGGTACGGCTTTTAGAAGGCCAGTCTTGGAAACTACTAGTCCTTCGTGAAGGCCGAATTCGTTGCTCAGTTTGAAGGTTAACAAGGGGAGACTGAATAAAGGGTAATTTTTGTGTATTCTTTAGGTGAAAACTGATTGAGCTACAAGGGTGCGTTTGATGTCTGGTAACCTGGTTTTTTGTTGTAACTGTAGGCATCTTTGTATAAGTTTAGTGATGACTGTAGTCGGGCTTAGATATCTGGGTGTACGATAATTCGTGGAAGCAGATAAAGGAGCTGAGTTTCAGACGTCTCTTTTCT